TTCTAATTGGAAATGATTGGTCAAATTTCTCACCACCTTATTGACTAAGACTGGTCCAATGGAAGGATGACTAAAAAAGAGTTGGGGGGGGGGTGGGTGGCCAATCATGTTCAATGAAGGGTTTTAGCTAAGCCCCCCTTAGTGAGCACAATTAACCCAAAACCAAGTGACATCTGGTCACGATTTTTCGCTCATCATTGGGCAAAGGCCATGTAAATGAATATTGATCAATCCCATTTAAAACCAAATACCAACAATGTCATTGTCACGGTGGCATCCCTCTTTCAAACTTAATAGATATATATGCTTGATGACATTATAGATATTTTTGCATATAATTAATAGCAGTCTAGCAGTCTCATCCCACACTTTGCTAATTTGTTAACAATATTCCCATTTTTCTATGGAATTGATTAAAGTGGGGGGTCGTCACCTGTGCACACGCAGGAATTGAGTCTTCTTATTCTTAGATGGATCATTTTTATGGAACCACCACCTGGCTTTAGTAGTGAAACTGTAAAATTATATTATTTATTGAAAATGGAATCATAAACTTTGAAAAATGTTTTTTTTTAAATATTTTCTACTATACTAAGCAAGGAAGTCATAATGAATTTGGTCGGAAAATGCACAGACATCAACTCTCTGGAAAAAATGTAATTTCCCATACATAAAAGTAATAAATACATTCTCAATTAATGGTACCCTATTACAAACAAACAGGAGAAGCTAAAATCTTATCACTTTTCAGTTTCAAGACCAACTGGCTTTAAATAGAGGCAAAATATTATATCATTATCAGCAATGGGAGCCAATTAGGATTTGGATTAATGGATAGGCACTCATTTAAGCCAGCAGTCAATTTTATTAATACCAAGGAAGCGAACTGGTTAAATTCTTATTTTGTAGCTGTCAATAATTTTTTTTCAGACTGTTCTCTGTTTGAAGGTTTGCACTCAAATGATGATGTCACATGGTGCTCGCCATAATTATCTTTGAGACAGACTTACATTTAACTCGTACGCTCCCGCACCCCATCCTGCAGCGGCACCAGATCCACTTAATCCAATAAAATGATAACTACCAATATTACTTGCAAAAAGTGAAGCTCCAACCTACAAAATATGCACAGAAGAAATTATATTTGCTTGGAATTTATTTTCACTATTTTTGCTGAAGAAAAGAATCCGTGAAAATAAAATCCAGCAAATATACCTTTTTTCCTATATTTTACATTCAACTCGTCAAAAATCAGTGAAAATAAATTTCGTACAAAACACCCAAAAAAGTCTTTCCAGTGAAAATTAATCCCAGCTAAAATAAAGTTTTCTACAGTATACACATCTGTTAATTATTAGTACTACCAAACCTAAACTGATTATGATATATAGAAGATAATATTTGGTACGATATATATCATATTTATCAGTCCAGCAGCGTTTATTTATTTATAAACTACTAAACTGATTATATTCCCTAAGGGATGCAAGATACAATGGCCATCATATAATGTAAAGTCATCTGTATAAACAGCTAATAAAATATAACATGAAAGGAGCATGCTTAGTAACACAGATTTTTTTAATTTTCATGTTACTGTATTTATTTATTTGCCATAGAATACAGGTTGTACAAAGAATTAAAAACATACGACAAGAGAGAGAGAGAGAGTACATTGCGATACAATAAATATTAAAAAATTAATTAAAATAAAATGAGCAACTGATCCATGGCTGGGGTAACAGAAGATAGCAATCGTAATGCTAGACAAGTCTGTTCCCCTGTATACAATTATTTCAATGAGAAAAAAAAAATACAAAAATTTGTGAATTTGTAATCGATTCTGGTAATCTTAAAAATGATCGAATATCCGTGCTCATCACATGTCATCAATGAATGTGTAATGTTATAAACGTTCTAAGGGATGTATTTTTAAATGTAATTTTTAAATGTAATTTTGAACAAGTGGAAAAATCTTACCATAAACCATATCATGTCTCTTCCTGCAAGGAAATATCCCGCTGATGTACCTCGATTTGGTCGACATGTAGACTACAAGATAAATATAAACCCATTATATATATATATATATATATTTATCGGGGTCATTGACATATTATTGGGTCAATATATGTCAAGTATACAAACATACGCAAAATATTAATCTTCAATGATATATGCAAATATTGCCAACAAAAAATGATTTATACGTTTATGCCTCATTTCAAAAGGACAACTTACAAAAAAGGGTTCTCACTGCGCGACCAGTACTTGGAATGCCTTTGAAGCAGAAGCATATGTGAACCCCCCAATAAAAATAATAATAATATCATACTGATAATCATCAATATAATAATTGCAACCTTACATGTAACATTTTCTATCGGTTATCAGCAATATGTGTATAAAATGAACATAATAGTAGAAAAAAAGTGTCAGTGATGATAAACATAATGAAGATGCCACAATATTTTCTCAAAAATGTTCCCTCACTGTGGATCAATTTTTCAGGGCAAAAAATCCTAAACATGATCATTACATTTGACATAATTATTTCTCTTTATTAGAACCCCCTCCCTTCCCCCTCCGAAAGGGCGCTCGTCGTCGCGCCGCGTCCTGATCGATATGGGACTCATAGCGACGTATACAACGCGTGTAAAATACGTTGTTTGTTTACATGAAATTGGAACACGCGCTGCACGACGTCTCGATGCTCGTCAACCTGGCCACAGCACTACTTTTCAGCGGTATTCGTGTAAGAATGGTGTTCCCACCTCCCATTCTTTGATTCTACGACTGAATTGGTCTGTGTGGGTGATCTACATAGTACAGAGACTATTTAGGATAAAAGTGCGACCATGGAGGGTTTATAGTTCCATGGTGCGACCAATGCATCAAACGATCCGGATGCTAATGGTTTCTCGGTTACGTCGTACTGTTAAGTTGCGCCCTCAACAACACCTCTACATATAAACTTTTGTTTTTAACTTTCCCTCGTGTAACATGTCTGCAACATGTATATGTTTTGTGTGACGTCACAGTGTAGCTTCTTTCTGAACGTGACTCAACTTTTGAAAACAACGAACAATCATTCGAGCAATCAGTACAACTCAAAGTCCCCACCCTGTATCTGCCATTGTTAAATCAAGTATACAAATATAATCATACACGAACAAGTCAATTTACTAAGTGTTATAAATAGTTTTCCAGTGATAACAAAGGTCAGATTTTTGTTTACACTTTGCCCGCTGCTTATGACTACAATGAAACATGGTCCATCAAATACGCCAAAGATAAAATGAATTTAATATCATTAATTACAAAGACCAGCCACAAATAAACACCAGACGTGCAACGCGCGATCGAATTTCTTGTAAACAAACGTTGTTTACATTGCGTCAACACAGGTGGCGCTGTATCGGTGACTACACCGCCATCTTACGTTATCAATGCCGTTGATGTACGAGTAGCTCACCAATCGCTGGTTTGCAGGTGTGTCGCGTAGGTGCAAAGGTCAACGGTACAAAGGTCAACGGTAAAGGTCATACAGATATACGATAAAGCACAATGAACAAATATAATATTAAACCTCAATCATGATACCAAAGCTTGCGACCTGATTTAGTAGCTATTCTCCCATGCGTACTGCAGCATTAAAGACAGTAGTCGTCGTGCCGCGCATGTGCGACATTTGTGTTGATAAACATTGATTTTCCCATAATTCAATGCACTTTTCTAATGAAATCACAAATACGAGTTTTGTTCTGGGCGCACTAATCACCAAGGACGACTCGCCAAAAAAAAAATTACCAAATTAGAGCTTAGTAACTTCTCAGTATGTGCTTATAGTGTGCGCATGCCTGGCGCGACGACCACCGTCCTTTAAATTCATTTAGAAAACTATGAATCCGTTTTTCTTAAATTCAAATTACGGAACATGACTATTAACATTATAGCAAATTATATAATTCCTAAAAAAAAACATTGAGAAACCATCATATCTTAACTTGTGTTAAAAATAAAAATAAATATATTTAAGAAAAATGTTGAACCAAACCGTTTTGAAGTAATCGATTGATGATCTGTCCAAAAAACTTAATATTATAATTTATCTTTAGTAATACTTCACGCCAGAAGGTATCTGTGTTGACCATGTATGAATGAACTGCACACGAAACGTCTCCGTCTCCCCTGCTTTTGAATTAACATATGTCGTTGATGTCGCCATAACTCCGGTCGCGCGGGCATACGTGACACATAACAGTAACATTAAACGCACGTGTATGCAAAAAAAATACACTTACATACTAGGGTGGAACCGACAGAGGGGCGGGGTAAGGTGGGTGTAATATTAATGGAGTGATGTGCATCAACCAGCAATTATGATAAAAACTACATACATTGAAAACAATATTAGTAACTCATTTATGTTTTTTTTCCACACTCAACCTGTGAATCCCGTAGTGCAATAGGCCCATATATACGGTGGATATTATGGTAAATACCCCGCAGCTCATTTTACCACCGCAGTAGAACATAACGGAATACACGCCTTCACCTGATTATCGTACTTAGTAAACTTGCCTACTGTTCAGTTAGTACTAACAACTTAACGGTACAATGTTTTTTTTTTTTTTTCACGCTATCAACCAATCTGTCACACAATAGACTGTTTAGTCGTCGTTGGGATTCAACTTACCGCCATGCCAACGGCAAATACTCCTCCGAGGTATAAGAGTATGATCACATTGTCTAAAGTTGTGACTTCCGCCATGTTGATAGATCTGGAAAGTTCTAATTGCGTATTACCGTTATATATGCAAGCCGATATTATTACAACTGATGTTTGCTCACTTGTGACCTTAACATGGCCCTTGTGTCAGTGTATTTACAGAGGGCGCTATCCAAGTGTAAATACTGTAAACTGTTTCTTTTTTGGCGAATTTCGCGAGTCGGGGATACTTTTAAAATGTTATATCGGTGAACATTTCATAAGGATCTAGCAATTAAGGAACAATGTTGTTTTCATGAATTCGTCCAAGTACAATGTTGCGTATACATTTGTCGGTTCCTGTAATGTAATGTATTTATTTCTTCCATCACCCTAGAATTCGTATTTTAATGGAATGAATTAATATCAATATATTGGAAATTAATCGATATCAAAATATTGATCAATATATTACGATTAATCTATTACATCTATGTTTTACTCACGGCGCTAGTAGCACAATAGCCCCATTTTGTTGCAGCGAAATAAAAACCCTCGCAGTTTAAAAGGCGGTACATTCCACAAATTATAGATGTGGCAGCGCCGGCCTTCTGTTGACCTGACGTAATATTGAAACGCTGCCATTGTTTTCACTTGGTGTTGTCTAAGAAATTGTTCTCCACGATTTGTTTTCAAACTTGATATAAAGTATGAAGAAAACAGTAATTCGAACACAAGTTTGCAGGTTAAATGGTATTATTGCACGAGGCATCTTTCTCTGGCTCTTTAAGTTAGCAGCTGTTGCGGCGAAAATCGAAATCGACATCTAATTATTGAAATGATAATAATTTATTCTTAATATAGACCTCTGGTGAAAGTACATATAAACAACAAACAATATAGTCACAGAACGTTGGTGAAAATAATACTACTCGTCACTAAAAGTTAAACACTGGGTACTACAGTAAGTAAAAGTTATCTTGTTAACGAAAAAACATACACATTTATCGGTGTTACGTAACACAGGTTTACTTTTACATTTCATGAGACCATGAAGAAGCAAAGGATCTTCGTTTTCATGTTTTCATTTTTCATTTGTTTTTTTTTGTTTTCATGACGTTCATCACGAATATTTAAAAGGGTGGTGGTCGACACCCAGCGCGTGTTCGAATTTCATGTATTTCATGTAAACAAAAAATGTATTTTAGTACACACGTTGTGTGTGTCGCTCTGAGTCCCATTTCGAACACGACGCAGTGCGACGACCGCCGCCCTTTAAATCAAGTTCTCAAATAAAGACCTTGTCTACGTATTTTGCCAGAGTATGTTTCGAAGTGCAGCGGGTGATAGTTTGGTGTGTTATAATAGGCTTCTGGAAAACTCTGAGACTAGAAAAAATATCGTCATTGACTGGAAGTATATATTATGATAAGTTTGGCACGGTCCCTGCAATTTAACGATATAAACTTCGGCATTTATTCGACATTTGATGAACCCAAAACGACCTTTATATAGGCCACTCCATGTTAGAGCTAGTACAAAGTGGTAATTATTCCGGTGTCAGTAACTGTCAGTGTCTGGACTAATATATTACATCTAATGCCCCCAATTATATATATCATGGCAATACGTTACTTAGCAACACATGACTTAAAGATTCAAACTTATAAAACTAAACAGTCAACTTTTTGTAATTTGTCAGTTTAACCGTTGATACAAGCGTCCTCTGCCGGTGTAACGTTTTATCGAAACGTTGTTTTTAACGTGCGTTGTTTTAAACTTGTTTTCCCATTACACGTTTCGCACATACATTGTATGGCGTTCAGACTAACGTTGTCGATGACAGGGTCGTCAGATCAATACATCTTCGTATAATATCACGCCCTATAGTGTAAACGTCTTTGTGACGTAAATGGACCGCCTCTAAATTATTTTGATAATTTTCCCATATTGTAAATAACGATCGTCTACACATTTGTTTGACATTGTTTACACACTTCTATGTCATTCACGTCACAAAACCGCGTCTGATTATCACTAGAGGGCGCGAATCCGTCACCGGAATGGTGTATATAGTCACACTGTACGAAATTAAAACAAAACAAAACAGTGCTTATTTTGTCACGAAACGTATTGTTTACCTATTTAGATACCACTGATAAATGGCAGTTGAAAAACTGTTCAACTTAGCCGAGTCACTGTAACAGTAGTACGTGTTTCATTTATTAAAAGTAGGGAATACTGGTCGAGTAGTGTATAGCTTAATGGTTAGGGTGTCCGCCCAACACCAGGGAGATTGGGCGTGGTCGGCTGCCCACTCAGCAGTGAACAGAGTGAACAGAGAACATACCGCCCACTTCTACGGTGTACGTCCTGTCGAAAGTAACATAAAGTTGCCGCTCCGTTGTACAGTATACATAGACAATCGTAGCTTCATCGTCGCAACGAGTAGCGTGAGATGACTGGAACTATCGACATCGGTGTGTTTTTCAGCATCATCGTGAAAAAAACATCGATGTGAATACAATTTGTTTCACAAACTTTGGTTGCGACTCCGCGGTGGAAATATATTGTCAGGGGTGTAAATATTTTAACCGCGGTGAGAATAGTTTTCTGCATAATGTCGAATTTCCGACATTTTCACTTTAATTTACACCTCGTTGGAAATATTCTCACTGCGGAGAAAATTATTTTCACCGCTGTTTAAACATTCTCACCTCATTGGAAATATTCTCACCGCGGTTTAAATATTCCACCGAGGTGTAAATTAAAGTGAAAATTTTTGGAAATTCGAAATGAAGCCGAAAAATACAGATGAAAATAAGAGAAATTCGAAAAACAGTGAATGGCCCTAACAAGCCACCGTAGTTCACATCTTTAAATCTATCAAAACACTTTCGGTGTTGTCAAAACAAACAAGTTTATTTTATACCTAAAGTGCTAACTCCGTGACACCCTAATTGTGTTTGGCATGATAGCGATTCATCGACCCTTAATGCGGTATTATTATCGCATTCCCACTAGTGGTTTCCACTGCCACCGTGATTGTAATACGATGCACTATAACCGCCCGCTCCCAGCGGTAGATAAGTGAGATTATTGTAATACTAAGTATAAGCTTAGTCGACCGTTAAAAACCGTACCGATATCCGAGTCTGCTTATAATCTGGTGTGGCTAAAGTCTCTGGTCGCTGGTACGTACGTACGGTGTGTATTCTTTTCTACGTGATTGTACATGTGGCCATGCACCGGCGGCCGTACATTTAAACAACCGAATCGCCTGCTTTCACTTGATATGCCCCAAACGCAGCAATAACCTGGTGACTGGGGACCGTGACTTTGAAAAATAAACAGAAGAATAAATAAATAAATGAAAAATAATAAAATAAACAAATAGACTTGCGTGCTAACAGGTGTTTTGTTTTCAGTCGTCTTATTAAAAGTCTGAGATTGCATCCACGCATGCGCATGTACACACAGTACGACAGCGGCTGCCTTAACGACCCGACCTCGAATACTTGTTGTTTTTTGACAAGTTGTGGGTTTCACTATAAGAAGACTACGTCGTCACGACCACATCGGCAGTAACAACTCTACTCAGGTATGGCTAGCAAAAGACATGGTGTATTTGTTGAAATAATAATCATGTATTTGGCCGATCAGGCAAAGTCGATCTAAAAAGACGGTTCAATCAATACATTGTTACGACACAGACGGTGCAGTTTGTATTGTAATTGCGTTTCCTCTATTGACTGGGTATTAGTATTCATGTTGACTGACCGTAAGATATATGTGCATTTGAAGTGTGTGTGTGTGTGTGTGGGGGGGGGGGGTAGTTGGGTGCCACGAAAAATAATCGAATCTGCAAAAATCCACGGCGGCTTACAAAACACCGCTGACGGCCGGGGGAACGTCACGGCGCTAGACATGTTGGTGCGGTTATAATCTCGTTACATTGTGTTCATTTTACGTAGCTGCACACAGCTCATGAATACATGAAAAGTAAATGCTTGGGTAACCCATTAAACGCATTATCGTTACGCTGTTCACGTACACACATTATTTAAATGACCAAGAATTCCTTTTTCCATTGTACGACTTGTTTCGTTCTCAGACTCCAAGAGTCCAATACCGTGAACTAACTACGAACTGTGTACACGATATGTATTCTTTAATATGCTGTGCAGTACTGACTGTTCCATTTAAAGCTGTTCAACACAAACTCGTCTTTTGACCTCAATACAATTGAAAACAGTGCGCCGAGTACAGCTCAATGGTGAATACAAAGCTGTGAAATGCTTGTCACATCAACAGTGAAACGAGCATGATCTATGTCAGCACATGTTGACGTAGAACGCGTTGAAGGTCTCATTCTTTAAAATGAACACGTCAAAATAGAACGCTTGTCTTGAAATTACCGCAATGCCGTCATCTCTTTTGTCGTGACGTCATTTACATGATGACGGTTCCCGTATAAAATACCGACTCACTGACGTAAGAGGCCTTTTGAAGTATTTGCTTTATTCCGTTGTTGGATATAAACGCGTGTAAACAAAAACCATAAGTTAAGCCTATAATGACAGTTTCATACCACGATATCGTTCATAATAAAATTAATATTAATCTCCCGTCTTAAACTTGATAACCCATTGTCACAGTTCTTATTAAATAATACTTACAAAACTGGACCTAAAACAAATTCAATGTGTCTTAATTTGCTATGTTCGGTCATAAATTGTCTTTATAAATATAACAATAAAAGTCGTATCTACAATATACGGGGTCGTTAACTCCTAACACGAGCGAACAAATTAGAAACATTTGCTCAAACGATCTTAATAAAGAAGAATCGTCAATTTAACGCTGGATTGCTAACTGCGGTGGATGTAATGTACCATCCTAAATAGATGAAACCAATTGGCACAACCTTTCACCATAGTCATTAACGTTCCATCGTGTTGCTTGGAAACGGGTAATGTATTGGTTTCAAAGTTGTCTCAATCGATTCGCGGTAACCGCGCAACATCACGTCAGCCGTACGTGTCAAGTTCATGTATATAACA